CCGGTCTCAGAAATGGAAAACGTGCATTTCAAAAATGTTAAACGACATTAAGTTTAAAACATTTTAAAATGTCAAATGTGTAATAATTCTTTTGACCATCATTTTTAGTTTTTCAAACATTCACTGCACCCGACGGCGTGATAGCTATTTATTTGATAAAAAAATGTACAAGGTGAATATTAGTCTGCTTTTGGTCGTGCCTGGCATACAGGTCCCTATCCCAAGTACACGTTAAGTGTGTCACAAGAACATTTACTGGAACCTAACCCACATACGTTCGAGTCATTATCTTTAATTGCAATCACATTGTAGTACAGTATATGGAGAGTATACTCGTATATTTCATATCTTCCGCATAACAATACATTAAGATTTTCTACGTTATTTTTTCATTATAGAAGCTATTGTGTTTTATCATAATAAAAACATCTTTTTTTAATCAAAAATACATTGTCAGTGATATAATCTTTTTATTTTAAAATGTCCTGTAACATAAAATGCCCCGGCTAGGTGGAAATCCGTATTTGTTACCGGTAAATTGCATTGATTATTACTAATTAGGATAATTACGTAAGCCTTTGTTAAAGTTTTTGAGTTTCGACCCATGATAGAGAATTTCAAATGAAATAAACGTCTCATTTTTTTCCTATGACACACTTCTATTTCATAGGAATGGATTGAATTCAAAGCGGACGTTTCGGATAAAAGTAACCTTCCAGTTTTCTGATTTCTCATTTGATTAGACCAGACTTTTATTATCCCTTGTTTCGCGAACCCGCCGAATGAACAGGAACCGAAAAAGAAATAAAAATATAATTTTATTTCAGCGTAATTTCTCACGCCCGCCGACTTGTAAGCGTAAACAAATATTTTTATCTTCATTTTTTTTTTACCGCCCGCCACATAAAAAATCCAAGTTGCATTTTCGTGGGAGTATCATGATCAAAGTACCGAAGTCTCGCGCAGATGAGAAACAAGGTTATACATGGAATAAAATTTTATTTCATTTCTTCTCTCCGATCAATGATCTCACTTACAATTCTTTGAGAATCACAGAAATCTAATAGAAAAAAATAATTAATTTTATTTTTTTAGTGATTTAAATTTTGCACAGTATTCAATACACTATGCTAACATTGTAGAAGGTAATTTCAGGTCAAAGGTTTTTAAATAAACTTTTGTAAGGCATTGAAAATCTTTTAATTACAGGCAGCAGGATGACTTCTTTCAGTCTACTCGGAACCACTTTTAGTCATATAATTGTGCTTGAATGTTTTTTTGTTTGTGCCAGGGGACAGTTCCGGACATTGAACTCTCCCAATTTTTTTTTTTCATGTGGAAAGTGCTAACACTGATGCATTTTTATTACAAAAGCCACATTTATGTTTGGGACTACACGACAGGCCTGTGTAGCCATCTCTCTATCAAATTGCAATTTAATGTGCGATCCTGGTGTCAACCAGGCTCTGTTGACAAATCCTTGTACTACTTTGTCAATATTAAACCATTTACAGACCCTGGTGAAGATTATGCAGCTTCAGTCAAGGTGAACTACAAGGAAAACAAAACTGTTACTGTAAAAGTATTAATTATTCACTGGGTTTTAATTTTGCTAAATTAAAACCCAATGAATGTCAAATTTAGCATAGAACACATTACCTAAATGACCAAACTGTAAATTTAAAACTCTAAATATGCCTGAAATGGTAAATCTGTGAAATTTAAACCCAGTGAAAATTAGTATTTTTACAGTAACTCTTAGTAAATACACTTTTATATTATTTGAAGTACTTGCTGCTTTTTCTATTTATGCAAGTACACAAAACAACTTGCCATGCAGAAGCCAATCTTAACTACTGCAATGAGACCTAACAATTCTCTGCTCCTTTAATCTGTAACATCCAATAAGATTTACTGGTACAGTAAGGTGAGCATAATAAAATGAAATCTGGATCATAGGACTCATTTTGACCATACACTTGTCATCAGGGAATGGCAACCTGTTAAAATACTGATGGAATGCTCAACTCTTTTGGATCCTCATCTCCATACATTTGAAAAAAAAATAATTGAATCAAGTTCAGATACTAGGGAATTTGGTTGTTGCCATTCCCCTATCCTGCCACAGAAAAAGTTTCCAATAGATTTCCCTCAAACTTAATTTTGATCACCAACGTTGTACATTTTCTGATCATTCTCCAAAAAAAAAATTAAGGTCACTAAAATCTTTTGATGACATAATTACTTTTGGGTAGATTAACACTTGTGAATTGAGAGTTAGTAACCAAATTTTAAAGAATATCTAATCCAAAACCAACGCTGAAAAGCTCATTTGTATCAAGTTCTTCTGGCCTTACTCACAGCCGCTGGTTTTGGAAATGTATACAGACTTTGCATATTAGCAAGACTAAAACATGCATGCACGCACACACTAGCTTCAGTTTTCTTAAACCTAACTGAAGCGCAGATCCAATACCAGCATTGAGCAAATATTACCGGTATGAAGATTTGGATTCGCTTTAAATTTTATATAAACATGGGTCTCATCCAAAGCTGAGTACATGTAGTTCTATTCCAGTGAGGATTTTAATTAACAGAAGACAACTTCAAAGTGTACTACAAAGCTGCAACATTTATTTCGTTGATGCTGCAAACATAGGAAAAAATACAAAGGTCTTCTTCATGTGTGCAGTAACCACAAGCAGAACAGCGATTTAGCAAAAAAAAATGAAAGTTGAGTATATATCATGTACTGTATTTGAAAGTGTGTGCATGCAGTTTACATAAAAAAATTAACATTCAAAGGTTGGTATATATTTAACAAAATATCAATTTGGACAGGTTTTTAATAGAGCTAGTTTGTAGGTACAAATGAGATACTAGAGATGTACTTTTTTACCAGGTTAATGCAGTGGATAACTAAATGCTAATATACTGTCAAGGCTTAAGTTCTACTCAATGAATATACTCGTGTACAAAATTATAGATATTGTAATAATTGAGGTTTTCAAGACCATCTCACAGGACAAGGCTATCACAACATTGAAATTTAACTTAAAAAATACTCCGTACAAGAACACTATTATAAGGGAACATGGATTAAAATATACAAGGTCATGCAAGCAACATAACCTAAAAAAAACATGGCGTTGCGACTAAAAATGCAATTTACAGCTGCTGAGAAAAGTTTTCTTCACTGCAAAACCACTCTTATTTTGAATCGTACGCTTTACTGAGATAGGCTACTTTGCGGCATACTGCGCATACTTTGAGACACTATTGGATAGGTAACCATTGAATTTGGGTCACTAAGTAAAGGCTGCTGCAAGCTTTGTGAGAGAGAGACTGGAGTCATAGCTGGCGCAATAGACGTAATAGGTGGTGCTGGTGTTATTGCTTGAGCAATGGACACAAGCGGTTGCATCTCCTGCGCAATTAACTGGCGCTGCTCAGGTGTCAAGACTGACTGAGCAGTCGTTAATACACTACTAAGCTGACTGACACCATGGGTTGAGGGGATAACCTGACTATAACTAGAAACCTGACCTCTTTCATTTGGTGTGGGACTGGCACGCATTTTAGCTCTTAAGCGGGCGTTTTGATCTAATAGAACATCATTAGTTGCTGTGAGATCAGACACTTGCTTCTTGAGCTCATCTACACGTCGCCTGAGTAACATGCATTCATCCTCCAACTCGCGGTAGTCATGGCCTCTGGGTCTTGCAAACTCGTAACCATAATCTAGCTCAGTGCGGGACCTTTTACGCATCCTATCATATTCATAATCATCAAAGCTGCGCCGTGGATCATACAGATCATCTAATCTACTACGTGGTGGTGGCAGCGGTGGCGGTAAAGAATCACGCTGACGGGCCCTCATGTAGAAATCATAATCGCCCTGGCTCATGTGTCGGAACTTGCATTTCATGCCTCTGCGGCAATCTCCCTTTAAGTAATCGCGGCACACTGGGATATCGCCATCAGATGGTAAATCATTGCCAGGCACGCCAGGGGACATCCGGTCCATCCGCGCAGGCATGTCACCAGTGGATTTATAATACTCTTCTTCATCACGTGTGCAATGAATAAACTTGCAATTGGGGCGTCTGCATTCTTTGTTTTGAAAATCATGACAGAATACATGTGATTTCTGTTTTAGACCAAGCTTCTCAGCTTCTGAAGTATCTGGGTGTTTGTATTTACAATTATTACCTCGCCTGCAAACATTGCGCAGGAAATCGCGGCATATAGCATCATCTCCCTTTTGGCCACCCTTTCTGTCATCAAAAGAATCTACCGTATCCCTAGTGAAATCAGTGGACATGGTTATCTTGTAAAAATAATAGAGCTATGCAACGCAATATATCTAATGAATTGTTAGAAATGTTCAGCCAGCAGACGCAGGGTTCCTAATGCGCTTGCTTGTCAGTGGTATTGGTTAGACTTGTTGAATCACCGACGCCAATCAACTCTTGCTTGCTTGCTGCAATTCGCTCACGGTTCGTCACTAGCTTTGCAGATGCAGATTTACACGCATACGGCGCTGCAAAAAGAAGCACAAAACCACATTAATAACTTGTTTCTCTATTACAGTGTAGAATCAAAGGATTCAAGACAAAATGTCTTATTGGTTGCACTGGTCTTAGTATTAAATTGAGCATTGAATTTAGCACATGGTAGACTTTTTGGTGGACTGATCAGAGATCTGATCAGCTGCAATATAGAATTTCAGAGTGTATCATAGACACTTAGATCACTTCAACATGAAAGCATTTTAACACAAATTTACAGAGGGCATGATCAATTAGCAAATTGAAGTAAATGCCAAAATGAAATTGAATCCTCACAATAAATTTAATTATGGCCGACCTGAAAGGCATTAAACTATTAATGATTAGTTATTCTACAAAAAAGTATTTTAAATTTCATAAAAAAAAAAAAAAAAATACTGTCAATGACTTTGTCCTAATTTGAATAAGGCGTACAGTGTTCATTACCAGACCAGAATCAAATGACAAGTCAGTTGGCACAATATTTATTATAGTACACGATCAGCGCAGGCATGTACATATAGCAGTCTCAGGTTTGACAACATAAGTTTTCAAGACCAAAACAGTTACTGGTCAGCAAAATTAGATCTGTTCAAAACAGTAAATTAATATACTTCTCATATTTTGTACCAGCTTATAACAAAAGACTTTACACTATTACCAATGAACAAATACTAAAACTAAAGGACATGCATTAATAACCAACCAACCATTATATCTTACAGCAAGTCTCAGAAGTATTGGGGCAGCCAATTTGCAAACTCGCTAGCGAATTGGCTAACTGCTTGGGTTTTGACTAAACAGTTGGCTTTCGAATCTCGCTGGCGCCGTCTTGTGATCACGCCCACTTACGGCGAGTCTATATAACAGTAGGGGGACTATCGTCATACTTGAGGAACTAATCAGATCAGCTAATCAGACTGTTTTACAGTTGGGTGGCGATTTTGCTTTCAAATATACTAGGGAAAGTGTTCTATTTCTTTCGTATCCACATAAAAATGACGAATGACTTTAGCGGTCGGCTTAATTTTACCCCAACGGATCTTTTGTATGTGAAAGTTTGTTATTTTCTCCCTGATTTGTAGGAAAATGTTTCTCAACTTGACTATTTACATTTTGTAGTTTCAAGCAGTGTTTAAGATGGCTACCCCCATATAATATCGGTGAAATAATCGCATTTATCATATTATCATTTGTACGCCAGCTGACTGGTTATTTTCAAACTCAAACCGGGGGCTCAAATTACTAATGGGGAATCCAGACATGTACCAGGCTGCGTAAAAAAGCATTGATTGTCCCCTACTGCAATATAGACTCGCCCAGAGTGGACGCGATCACAAGTCGGCGCCAGCGAGATGCGAAAGCCAACCGTTTAGTCAAAACCCAAGCAGTTAGCCAATTCGCTAGCGAGTTTGCAAATTGGCTGCCCCAATACTACTGAGACTTGCTGTAATACGAATGACTATTCCTGACCAGCAATGTCCAAGAATCTGATGACTACCTGGTATATTAAACTGTTATTTCAAAAGTAAAAGATAAAATCAAATCAAAGTAATGACGTCATGTTTGAACAGGAACTTAACAGCCAAACAGGAAAATTGTGTTTTGCTAACACACAAAACAACCCATGCACACTCTTATCCCAATAAGAAATTACTTGTAGTTACATATACTTAAGTGTTGAATATAAGCCAAAATAACAATTTAAAACACCTAAATCAGATCGATCAGTAAGATGACAGAAATCAACAAGCCCTTGTTTTCAATATGAACTATGAGTTAAAACGTAACAATTAATTAAGAAAACCTATCTTAGAATAACATTTCATAATTTAGTCTCAAACACAACTGATATTAATTTATGAGAACTAATTGACGTTCAAAATTATATAAACTTAACTGTTAGCAAATTTGACAATCTGCGCACAAACCGACAGGTAACAAGACCCCAAATGACAGCGTTTTTAATAATAGTAAATCGTCCAGTATTGAACAAATAAACAATAACGTGTTTGCCCTAATTTGCATAAACCATTCATCTTTCTTCCGTCCAGATTCTCGCGGCAATGAAATATCCAATAAATGATTGAAGCGAACAAAAAATCTAAACTGAACTTCGATGAGGTTTTGCTCATCACCAGAGCCGCAAAAAGTTGCAACAAGATAAATTGATCAATGATGACACGAACCACAGAAAACGTGTACCCACGCTGTGAGTGACTGAAAAAAAACATGTAATGGTATCGTTGATCGCGTCGCCATAGCTGAATGACACACACCGCAAATAACTGAATGTTACTTTAGCCGAATGCCGACTCAGACTGAATATAAAGTATCTAAAAGTAATTATATACCAGGTTAAAGACAATTAAATTATAAATAGTCAATTCTTTGAGGCGTCTTCGTTCTTCCCTTCGTGGCTTAGGTATCCAAACCTTCTTTCTTTGGGTAAAATGAAAATGGCGACGCGAACAATAATTAGCATATCGCACAAACTCCCTAAGTTTATCCAAATAAGATGTGTAGTACCAAAGATTTGTGAACTAAAAGCTCCATGGTAGTACCAATTTCAGCAGCCAATTCAAATACATCCAATCACTAAGTTAAAACTTACACATCTTCTATTTTTCTATCATTTTAAATTTACGATAGCAAATATTTCACTCGGCCATACAATGAGGTCATACAACCCCTTAGCCAGGTGGTTTACGAATGCCATTCGGAATGTCAGTACCCCAGACCGCTAGCGTACGGGCGATAGCAGATAACACCGACACGAATGGTCTGGGTATTAAATCTAGGAAATATCCTGAATACTAGCGGAATTAGGAAGAGAAAAAACAAAACAATTGAATAAAATGTAATTAGTTTGTTACAAAATCTATTCTTTCAATTTTATGTCCGTGTTTGTTTGCAGCACACATGTAGAAATGGGAATAGAAAATATTACACTCTGCGACTCTTTCATATGGCTGTAGCTTTTCAGAGAAATATCTGAAATATTACGTAGTCTGAATATGTGTGAAATGTGAAAAATATCTGTAGATTCGTCCTAGTTATAAATTCAATTTCAATAAACAATCTAATGGGTAAATGAAATTGCAAACATTCGAACACATTCAGTCAGAACTATTTGTCGACCGGAAATATCGTTTTGTATTGCGATGTTTTTTTGTGTGTGACTTAGATCGCGTTGGCACACTTCATTGCACTATGGCTCATATTAAAACATCTCCCAAAGACCCACAATAAAACCACGGTCGAACATAGTTTTGCTATTTGTTGTTAAAGTATATTCTACCCGATCACGGGTCAGAAGGATTTTTTTCCACCCCGACTGATATATATATGTTCCGATCGGCGGTTAGTGCTGACTAAATCTTTGTCACGCCGAGACAAATGTCCTGACCGAGATATATTTGATCTAAGGTCAGTGCCCGGGGTCAGTGTCCAAAATAAGATATGGAATGGGACCTTTTTGGTGAATATGTAAAGAATTCTTACAAATACAGAATTCAGAAATTCGGTCGAATAACTCAAGTGTATCTACCATTTTCAGGTAAAAAATTAATCCAATTCGCATGCCAGTGAAATACAATTGCTTCTCTGTCTCGGTCTTTTAGCAAGCAAATTGTATCGACATTCACAAACAAAATTATGAAATATTCACCTTGTAAGGCCCTCACATACATTAAAAAACAAAGAAAAAGTTTTGATTGACTTGCCCTTTAAGTACAGTAATGCCCATTACCCATGAGTCTTTGTGTTTCTCCCTCAATCATGGCCTATTTACAAGAAAAATAGATCTCATCTGATTTACTCAAAAGTAGTATCGTTATTACAGTTTGCTACAACATTAAATTGCAAAATTATCCTGATAGTTCACTGACCTTTCTGGAACTCTTTGACAGTATTCATCTGTTCCGACATTGTGATTGGCCTAATGTTGTTCAAACATAATTTTAAATTTATAACAAGATTATGTTGTTTTTTAAATAGAAATTATTCATGCCTTTGAAAAAAACCACGAAAACACATTTATAATTATTTGTAAAAACCATTGCTTAGTTGTCAATCAAATTTATGATTATGATTGGCTCAGAGAATGCTTGCATGTGTATTCATTTGTTCCTCTCTGGTTATAGCCTTTATGTAGGTGACCTGACGAGGTTTCAAAAAGTTTAAAACCTGCGGCACACGCATTTTTTTAAAATTTTGCATACCAGTGAAGTACGCCACTTCGTATATGGGAAATGTATATGGGAAATCTAATGCATTTATGATGAAAATATATTGAACAATCTTAAAAAAAAAAGAAAAACACAATTTTTTTAAAATTTACCTTGAACAAAATATGAAATCTTTTTTTTTTTCAATACATATTAGCAGAAACGAGTCCCACTTACAGACTCCAAACCAATTATGATGTATATACAAAAAATAAAATGTATATTTTGGAAAAGAACGCAAAACCCAGTTTAACAAAATTCAGAGTAGGGCATCTTTATAATATGGCATGTAACTGACAATTTTTTTTTTATAAATGACTAGGCTGTTGACTGGAGTTCACATGACAGGGTTCTGTCAACTTAATTAAAATATGACATCACTAGAGTGTTCTTTTTCCGTAATAATAAAATAAATCAAAGAACTCCCGTGTGCTGAAGGTATTGGAGGCACAAAGTACAAATAAGGAAAACACATTAGCTTCTATTAGAGCAAATACACCAATTAATTAAAAATATAACTGTAATATAACTGTGACGACCACCGCGCTTTACCATTCATAAATATTTAATGAAATAATGACCATATATGATGACTTGATAAGATATTACAATTATGTCTATTATTAAAGTCATATGACCATATATAGTCCTCTGAAAGATTAGTCATATCACATCGATCTCAACCAAAATCTAATCAGATTTGCGCATTATCCCAGTCTGGGAGCATCTATGTACCTACCATGTTTCATTAAAATCTGCTGAATGGTACTTGAGAAACAAGTGAAAATGTTTACAATTTGCTAAATAATATGCAAATTATGTCATTAATATGCAAAGGTTTAAAAAAAAAACCCAATCTGGTCTGCACATTACCCTGGAGGGAGAGTTCTGCGAATTTATTGAACTTCGTTGAATGGTTCTTGAGAAAAAAAAAATGTAAAGCTTTAAAATTGACTAATTATCATGCATATCAGGTGATTAATATGCAAGGATTTAAACGAAACCTAATCAAATTTGCGTATTAGCTTCAAGTTTCATAAAAAACAAAACAAGATATAGTTCTTGAGATATCAGTGGAACAGACAAACACGCATACACACACACATACTGTGATGGATTTATTTGCGTGTATCTGTTAATCGACTTAATTAGCTGATTACTATATCTGTCATCGTTTAGACCCATGCGAGGTTCTGGACGGAACTTGGTTCAGTGATTTGGAACTAATTACGATATAACCGTCGCTATTCGAACTACTATTTCTGACAGTTGGTATTAGCAGTTACTAATATAGTGAACGATTAATCAAAAGATATGACGTATTCAGTACTTAGTGTGATTGGCTGTATGATTGAAGGTTACGCCCTAGAGTCTTTATACTTCTTTGTAATTGGTTAAGGTTTTGAAAGTGAATACAGTTGTTTTAGTTGGTCTTGGCGAGTACACCAGGAAAGACGCAGTCTTGGAGGAGTTCAAGGCAGTCTTGAGGCAGTCTTGGAGAGTCTAGGGTCTAGTCTTGGGCTAGTCTTTGGCTAGTCTTGGGGACTTTTCCCCAGGGCGCTGTGTCTTATAGAGTACTCGACTTATCGACTAAAGACGAAAGCTGAAACGTATTTTGTTGTGTGCGTCTATTTGACTGTAAAGCTTAAGTGACTTTCCCGACCCCGTACCTTAAGGGGACGCGATAGAGAGACAAGACGAGATTTCCCCTTGGCACGTGTGAAAAACCCAGAGGAGAGAATTCCCCCCTGATAATACACTAACTTGCAAAAACTCAAAAATATTGATGAATTAAATGAAACCATTTATGTATTCCAAAAAGAAGGGACAAAATGATTTTGTGCGAGCTACAGTTGATTGCATTGCATTCCATTAATACAAAAATTCCACATAAACGCTGACATAAAGGCCACATGTTCAAATAATTTAAGCCGCTCTGCTAGGATTGCCCTTGTGTGTGTGTGTGTGTGTGTGTGTGTGTGTGATTTTCTAGTGTCTTTAAAGGGTGGCAATCGTCGTGCCGCGTCCTGTTCGATATGGGACTCATAGCGACGTATCCAACGCGTGTAAAATACATGAAATTCGAACACGTGCTGCGCGACGACCACCGCGCTTTAAGAATATTAATTCAACTGTGATTTTTTTTGGCTTCTAGTTAGGTGATCAAATCTGAAAAAATAGCCAGAAAACTAATTTTCGAATAGCTTCGTGTCAAATGTATCTCCTCCTATAAATTTAGGATTAAACACCTCGGACATTCTACTCAGCTTGAGTGGGGGCACAAAGTAACTATTTGATTTGATCTTTTTTCATTACAGAGAAATTTGACCTCAAAGTTAGGGTAACTTCTCAAAGGTAACGGCTTTTTAACTCCTTTGTTCATATTTGATAGGCAGGTCATACCGTCACTAATTGAAAAAAAATGCCTGGCCCACCGATGCATGGCAGCAGCCAGATTGATTTTTGAGCACTTTCGCCTCTGCCTGTCTCGTAATAGCAGTGTTTTATTTTGGCTAAGTTGCCGCAAGAGATCACTGGTGCCGACAATGTTACACTGTATCAAGACTGAATGGTTTTAGTAATAGCTTCACGTTTACCATGGCAACAGCCGAAAACATGGTGTTTGTTTTTTGAGCAGAGCGGATGGCCAACCAGCCTATCGGCATGTTTAAATATATTATAAATGTATAGCTTATAATATCACATATAGATGAGAACCACAGAATTATGAAAAATATGAATAGGTAATTATAAGATAGTTATATAATAGTGAAAACCATTTGATGTTATGTTTGATTCAGTGAAAACCATTTGGTGTTATGTTTGATTCAGTGAAAACCATTTGGTGTTATGCTTAATTCAGTGAAAACCATTTGGTATTATTTTGGATTTAGTGAAAACCACTTGGCATTAAGTTCGATTTAGTGCAAACCATTTGGTGTTATGTTTGATTTAGTGCAAACCATTTGGTGTTATGTTTGATCCAGTGAAAACCATTTGGTATTACATGTATGTTTGATTCAGTGCAAACAATTTGGTGTTTTGTTTGATTCAGTGAAAACCATTTTGTGTTTGCTATGTTTGATTCAGTGACAACCTTTTGGTGTTACGCTTTCTTCAGTGAAAACCATTTAGCGTTATGTTTGATTCAGTGAAAACCATTTGGTGTTATGCTTGATTCAGTGGAAACCATCTGGTGTTAGGTTTGATTCAGTGAAACCCATTTGGTATTACATGTATGCTTGATTCAGTGCAAACCATTTGGTATTTTGTTTGATTCAGTGAAAACCATTTTGTGTTTGTTATGTTTGATTCAGTGAAAACCATTCGGTGTTATGCTTTATTCAGAGAAAACCGTTTGGTGTTTTGTTTGATTCAGTGAAAACCATTTTGTGTTTGTTATGTTTGATTCAGTGAAAATCATTTGCTGTTATGCTTTATTCAGTGAAAACCATTTCGTGTTATGCTTTATTCAGTGAAAACCGTTTGGCATTAAGTTTGATTTAGTGAAAACCTTTAGGTGTTATGCTTGATTCAGTGAAAACCATTTGATATTATTTTGGATTCAGTGAAAACCACTTGGTGTTTTGTTTGATTCAGTGCAAACCATTTGGTGTTATGTTTGATCCAGTGAAAGCCATTTCGTGTTAGGTTTGATTCAGTGAAAACCATTTGGTATTACATGTATGTTGGATTCAGTGCAAACCATTTAGTGTTTTGTTTGATTCAGTGAAAACCATTCTGTGTTTGCTGTTTCATTCAGTGAAAACTTTTTAGTGTTATGCTTTATTCAGCGAAAACCATTTAGTGCTATGCTTGATTCAGTGGAAACCATTTGGTGTTAGTGAAAACCATTTGGTATTACATGCATGTTTGATTCAGTGCAAACCATTTTGCGTTTGCTATGTTTGATTCAGTGACAACCTTTTGGTGTTATGCTTTCTTCAGTGAAAACCATTTAGCATTTTGTGTTTGCTATGTTTGATTCAGTGACAACCTTTTGGTGTTATGCTTTCTTCAGTGAAAACCATTTGGTGTTATGCTTGATTAGCGGAAACTGGGAACCATTTGGTGTTAGGTTTGAATCAGTGAAAACCATTTGGTATTACATGTATGCTTGATTCAGTGGAAATCATTTGATATTATTTTGGATTCAGTGAAAACCACTTGGTGTTTTGTTTGATTCAGTGCAAACTATTTGGTGTTTGTTATCATTGATTCAGTGAAAACCATTTAGTGTTATGTTTGATCCAGTGAAAGCCATTTCGTGTTAGGTTTGATTCAGTGAAAACCATTTTGTGTTTGCTGTTTCATTCAGTGAAAACCATTTGGTATTATGTTGTATTCAGTGAAAACCATTTGGTGTTATGTTTGATTCAGTGAAAACCATTTGGTATTATTTTGGATTCAGTGAAAACCATTTGGTGTTATGTTTGATACAGTGAAAACCATTTGTTGTTATGCTGGATTTAGTGAGAACCATTTGGTATTATGTTTGATTTAGTGAAAACCATTTGATGATATGTGAGTACCACAAATAAATTAAAAGGGATTCCACAAAAAATGCAGAATAAATCCTGTGAAACATAAAAGTCACAGCAATTTTGCATAACTTTCTTTTTTAAAATGCCTATGTTTTTTTTATATTTTATAAACTTTTATTGAGTCTTAGTACAATAGTACAACAACTTACATGTAGCACATACATTGTTTCATGGAAAAATTACATCTTTGAAAAGTAACTGTTCATACACTATGTCAAACATTAAAATGTGATTGATACAATTGTGGTCTTATTACTTTGCCAATACTGCAAGGAACTTGCCCCATTTTTAAAGGTGCTGTTCAAGTTTCCCTTTTTTGTTTGCTATTATATATTCTATTTTTTGTATATTGTGTACAAATGGTTCAAAAGATCTAAAATAGGGAATTCTATTTTGACATCTACATATGTAAATATACCTCTTTGCTATTAATATTAAACAATTTAGCAGTATTGGGAACAGCGGGTTTCCCAACACTATTGACATTGCGTTAAGGGAGCTTCTTAGCCCAATCTTCCTGCCCCAATTTTCTGAGAATTTTGTCCAAAAAGTAATTACCAATGGACAATCGACCTTGAGATGTATAATTGAAATGCCTATGTTTGTGTTGTCACCAGAATAAGTTGTCCATTTTCACATTCAGGCTGCCAAATCATTATAGACCACATCTACAATCTCCAGAAAAAGTGAACGAATTAGATGTGAGTGCTGAGTAGTACTCACACTAATTTGTATACTATATACACATATTTCATACTTGATTGTGTGATTTATTAATTATTCAAAATATTTGGGAATGTGCACAACAATGTGGGTTGTCAATTTATGCTGTGGTTTTAAAATTGTCATAGAATAATTAGATATAGCTATGGTTTCTATTAAGTATAAAAAGTTAATTTGAATAACAGGTGACACAAAAAGTATATCAAATTATAATTCCAAGTAAACATTTCAGTTTCTGAACCAAAAATAATTACTTTTTAATACCAGTAAATTGCAGAATGAATTTCACAATACCAAGAATAGAGTAAGTAAATGTAGCGAAAACTGAGACGAGAACAAATCGTAGAATCCAGTGAGTGTGGTATCCTCTAAATGTTCGATATAATTTATCAACTTGGTCTTGTGTGTTTTCGACACTCCCAGTGTTGTCTATAATATGATCACCGAGTTGTATTTTATGTGATAGAGGCATCTGCGATTCGATTCGATTCACTGCTTCTTCTTTGCTTAGCTCATTCCTGTTCATTAGTCTGTCAAGTTGCATGTCACTATCACTGTAAACAAAATAATAGATCACCGTGGTAACTACAGAACATCATCTAGAATAAACATTATCCCTTGAGGTTTAAAGTGTTGCAGCCTATTCGTCACGTATACACGTTCTTAGCTTGTAGTATTTTGCACATGTTTAAGTTGCATGGGACCCAAATTGACCATGATGTGATGTGCTGACTGTGCCCCATAAACATTTTCAAGTCTAGTCTTGATGTTGTTATTATACCGGTAATTACCTATTGTTACTAATCTCATAGTAACTATAGTACAACAATAACATTCGTTTCATTAAACTTACCAATACACTACAATCACCTCCTTAAGAAATTTCAACATTGAACTTGTCTCATACAGCAGAGGTATATCAAGAATCACAAACTGATGGCCTACAGAATGAGGAAAATAATTCAGATTATGCTAGCTTACTTGAGAAACAAGTGAAACTGCCAGATATCTAAATTTAGTAGAGTAATCTGCCAAAATATGTTTAATATTAGTAACATTTGGTAAGTACTACAAAGAATAAGTTTTATTTACTTAAATTTGTAGTTTTTATTAACAAGCATTGAGAGTGCGCAGTCCCTGTTCTGTATTAAATACAAAGCCATCACTAGTAGTAATTCACAATTATGGGGATTATTTGTGGCTATAGTGATGTATTCATTTGTTGCAAGAAAATATTTGGTTCACTGGGTGTAAAATGTAATGGGAAACCAAATACCAAAATTATACTGAATTCAAACAAATAATGTGAGATGTATCAGAGAAAAATACATTAAAATGACAATTTTCAACCACGTTATGCAAAACTACTGAAAATTGCATCAAACGGCGAAATAACAAACTTGCAGTGAATATTTCATCTCCTAATATTATATGTTTAATATATTATATGTTTAGCAATAGAAATCTAAATAGTGATGCATAAACTGTTGTGAAGTATCTTATCATCCATCAATCTAATACACGACAATATTCCAAAAAAAAAAAAAAATATTAGAATATTATATTTCAGAGAAAAATAACACTCACAAAAATAATTGGGAACATTTCAATATCTAAACGTATCTGTTGTTGATAGTACTTCTGTGACTTTTTTCATTCTGGTGTCAATCAATAATTATTATAATGGGTGTTACCAAATTGCTTCTATAAAAGAGCTCTCCTGGGATCTGAATGAAGTGGGAGTCTTCCGGGCTAAATAAATTTTAAAAAGTATGATTCCTGAGTGAAAAATCTCAATTATTTTACCTCTGATCTTCATCAACTCACCTTTAAGGAAACAATAAAACAATTGCCACATCATCATCTTTTGAATTTCGGGATGAGTCATGGAATTCAGTTTCTTTCTCTTCACAGGATCTGTAAAGACCAGCTCTCCAAGTTTGGGTCTGTTCAGTCGTCCATCTTCAAGAAGAATTCCATCTCCAAAGTATTTGACAATTTTTTTCCAAGCAGGCTTGTTTGGTTGTACAACTAGTAAAACAAGATAAAATGCTGATGCATATGCACACAAATAATGGCATAAATGATACTGTGTTAAGGTCTCATGCCTTACTGCAATACCGGTATTAGCATTCAAAACCCTCAAATCTTACGGTTGTTGTTAGCCAATAACATACTCCAATTACGTCAATTGTTAGACTTGTTACCGGTAGCTTTGTTTATTGACAAGTACTGATGACCTGTGAATCTGGACAACTCTCAATTTGAAACTTCCAAACTGGCCGTATTTCTGAGAATATTGACGGTAGAGAGCCTGACAAATCTGTGTTTTGTTTACATCCGTTTTGTAGAAGTTTGAGCTCGCCAACATGTGTTTTACTGACCAGAATTCTATTACACATACATGTGGTTTCAACAAATTAAAACAATATTTTAATCTTTGTAACCCTCTTTTTTTGTGGAGAAATTCACCCAAATGTTAACATTGTCATCTATGGAATTAGTGGTATGAGACCTAAATGCAACGTTCTTCCATCTTGGAAGAGATGAAAGCATAAGCATATGAAGTCAGTTACCGTATATTGTTAATTTCACTATGGTCCTCTCAGAATACTGTGGCAGTAAAAAATTACATAATAATTTGCATATTTATTCAAAACAGAAGCTGTGATGATTCACTTACTCAATTACACAAAATTATTGACTTACAAAATTGTTACTGCTTCAAGAGTGTTACAACTACACAGTTTTAAGTTTTCAGCAACTTATCAATTAGATTTATAAAGTCAGCTAAATGGAAATGGCACTTTGGCAGTTAGCATAACGACCGTGGGAGAGTCAATTAAACCAGTGTGGTGGTAAAACAAAGCACTGCGGCAGTCATTGATCACTTATCTAATTATTTGGGATCTGTGAGAGAATATCTTTATCAAAGTACCAATTATGCTCCAGTTGATGTCCCCAAGTCAGAGTATAGTGGGAGATTTGGAAATTATTGTTATAAAATTTGCCAAATGCCCCACCTGGAGCAAAAAGAATAGGCAAATCAGCACCCAAAACAAACCACCACATTCAACCCTGGGAAACGCCATGCTTGCTATCAGCAGAGTACTCAATGAGCGTATACATATGCGCAGCTAGCAATGACAGCACACAAAACACGGCTATTACCCCACCTCCACGAGCACAGTTTGGCAGGGGTCAGGATTGACATTGACTGGAGCATTAAAACAATTATTAAACTTTACAAGCCTACTTTCATCTCACATTACCCATGAATATTGTTAAGTGTAAATTTTGTGTAAATATTTCTAAATGTAGATTCAAATTCAAATGAGAGATTACCGGGGGGTGGGATCCACTGCTGTAGTGCTTTTTTGTACCATCCTGTGTGTGTGTGTTTGGCTGATTGGATAGCGCTAAGGTTATTTCAAAAATATATATATTTGCACCAATGATATCAAAATTACAGATGCTGTGATTGGTTGAATTGTTTTCAACTGTGATTTTATGTTTTTCAATCTAATTTAAGTATTCATAAATAACTGTATTATGCATCCTTGGATAATCTGAAGTTGGAGTAGAGGAAAGTACACTACAACTTTTGTCTGTACTTTGCCTATATTTGTTTTGTTTTTACAAGTCTGATTCTTCATGAGAATATTAATCCCTAGTTAATACCAGGTCTGAAAACAGATATCTAAAATATTCAATCTAACCAAATCAAAAATAAAATCTTTTAAACAACAACATATTACCAGTGACGATAAATATTACTTCGGTCACGTGATGGATAATTAACTTTAACCATGGATGTAAACAATCGATTAAGAAACTCGTCTCTCTCACCATGGAGGTAAAAAGAGAATTTTTACCTCCATGCTCTCACCTACCTTCCCTGGCAATTTGATCAGCATCTAAAATTGTACATCCGAGCTCTTTGAACATTTCGGCAACTGTACTTTTACCAGAAGCTATCCCACCAGTTAAACCAATCAAGAACATCGTAAAATTAGTCCAAAGGCACGAACATGTAAGTACTGTTCCGTATATCTCGTGTATCGCGCCCTCAAAATGTAAATATTGAACTATTTCGTTCGCTATAACCTACCAGGCCATTGATTGGTCCGTGAATTGCCGTTTGTCCAATCAATCAGCTCGGTGCAGAAACAAGACCAAGTCAACAAAAGCTAAGATGGCTGCGCCCATGAAACATCACCAACGAAACAAACCGTGTCACAATCGGCCAAAATACAGGGAAAGCAGACACGATAAAGCTGTCAAGGTGAGACTAATTAAACAGCTAATTCGAGGGTTAAGAGTCGAGATCATCGCGTTTTTTTTTAATGTCTCGATTTTTTTTTGCCACCAGAAGTTATAGAAAATTCACATGTGTCCAATATTCCGGTGGCCAATAAACACCTGAGACCCGGTACCACACCGGGCGGACAGTTTGATTGCCGGTAGGGCTATCTCGTACGATCTCAGACCACTAAATAAATATAATAGTTGTCTGACGTCTGATCCGCGAAACCAGGGTTTTAGTATAAAAAAAAAACACTACACGAAGCTCATTTTTAACGCAAAATAAGTATTGAAAACTTGCGTGTAAACTGCAAATATCGTTCCAGTGCACACAGGTATGTAATGTACATATTTTATAACTTATATTTTGTTTATATTTTGCGTTACAAGTGACTGTCCCTCCTCTCACCTAGAAATTACAATATAATAGTGTATACCGGTATACACACTGACAGATACACTCTGTTTTCACATCTCTGTGTACATTTAAAATGCTATTGCACCATTCATGGCACGGTTCTAGAAGCCGTACCTACACACGAATTGGTGACGTCACAAAATACATGACCTTCAATCGGGGTCGTTTCCTTGGTACATGTATATACGAATTGGTATATACAAATTACAATAAAGATTAAACATAAGGTAAAACAAATCACGTGACAATATAATTTTAATAAAGGTAATAAATCCTAGCTTAACAGTTGAACAGAACGATCATATAGTCAGTCGGGTCACGCCAAGGGTCACGCACTTCGTTGCAAAATGGCAGTGTGGTTGAAACTGGGTCATGGCGTGATGGGTGGGGAAGACATCATTAAACACTCTCAAAATCACAATAAAACGGGAAAGTGGTTGCATATTACGGCGTAGCCAACATGGGAAATAAGAAACCGCACAATACAAACGACATGGGTTCGAATCACACTAGATACACACTCACCAGAACCGAAGCAATCAGAAACGAGCAATCATTTTGGCTTTCCCCTTCAACTCATCGGTACATTGGAGTAGTTAGAAAAATGAACACCATTTAACGACCAACGTCATGGTGTGGTACACAATCGTGCCATGGAGATAAAACAAAAGTAGCTTGAAAAGACAGTGGGTTCGAGTCCCGCTCAGAGCTACCGTAAAAACGTAAATCAAATAAAATGAAATCCCTCAAACTGTAACAAGTAAACTAAAAACATCGCGAAAAAATAATATACCTCACGAAACTCCACCATGCAAAACTGAATGAATAAATAATAAAATAACTTGCGTCTTAAACTGGACGATGCGCAGTTTGTTCAGCAGTTTCCAGATTGTGACAAGAGATAAACAAGACCCAAGTCAAGGTAAGTTTTGTTAAAGTGTTGATGGTGTTCCCTATATTACGAAAACAATTCAGGCAATAGACCAATATCTTCTGTGGTGTTGTGGAATTTATACTGTGTCTGCGGAATTGTTGATTGAGGGTTCGAAGTCAGCACTTAACATGTTGTTAGAAAGTTTCACAATTAAATCAAATATCCACTGATACCAGTATATTTAGATCACTATTTTAACAACAACTTGTCATTGTGTGAATTAATCAAACGTGAGTTGTTTACACCAAAATAAGTTTCAAATACTTGTCCACACATTTATTCTCTCAATTTAACAACTTGTAATGGTGTAAAATTATTAAATGAGAGTTGTCTACACCAAAATAAGTCTCAAATATTTGCCCACACATTTATTCTCTCAATTTAACAACTTGTAATGGTGTAAAATATTTAAACGAGACTGAGTTGTCTACACCAAAATAAGTCTCAAATATTTGTTCACACATTTATTCTCTCAATTTAACAACTTGTAATTGTGGGAATTAATCAAACGCGAGTTGTCTATACGAAAATAAGTTTCAAATACTTGTCCACACATTTATTCTCTCAATTTAACAACTTGTAATAGTGTAAAATTATTAAATGAAATAAGTTGTCTACCCCAAAATAAGTCTCAAATATTTGTCCACACATTTATTTTCACAATTTAACAACTTGTAATGGTGAAAGTTAATTAAACGCAACTTGTCTACACCAAAATAAGTCTCAAATATTTGTCCACACAATTATTTTCACAATTTAACAACTTGTAATGGTGAAAGTTATTTAAACGCGACTTGTCTACACCAAAATAAGTCTCAAATATTTGTCCACACATTTATTTTCACAATTTAACAACTTGTAATGGTGGAAGTTAATTAAACGCGACTTGTCTACACCAAAATAAGTCTCAAATATTTGTCCACACATTTATTCTCTCAATTTAACAACTTGTAATGGTGTAAAATATTTAAACGAGACTGAGTTGTCTACACCAAAATAAGTCTCAAATATTTGTCCACACATTTATTCTCTCAATTTAACAACTTGTAATTGTGGGAATTAATCAAACGCGAGTTGTCTATACGAAAATAAGTTTCAAATACTTGTCCACACATTTATTCTCTCAATTTAACAACTTGTAATAGTGTAAAATTATTAAATGAAATAAGTTGTCTACCCCAAAATAAGTCTCAAATATTTGTCCACACACTTATTTTCACAATTTAACAACTTGTAATGGTGAAAGTTAAACAAGACTTGTCTACACCAAAATAAGTCTCAAATATTTGTCCACACATTTATTTTCACAATTTAATAACTTGTAATGGTGAAAGTTAATTAAACGCGACTTTTCTACACCAAAATAAGTCTCAAATATTTGTCCACACATTTATTCTCTCAATTTAACAAATTGTAACAGTGTAAAATAATTAAACGAAAGTTGTTTAATCAGTTGACATCAATGCAACTTACCTGCAGACAGTGCACAACAGAGTATCATTATTGAGAAAATATAAACAGGAACGTGTCTTGGCATTAGGGTTAGGGTCGGGTCAGGTATGGGCAACGGAATTATTAACAGGAACATGTCTTGGCATTAGGG